ACCCCCAGGTCCCTTTCCATGGTGCTGCTTTCCAGCATCTCCTGAGTTGCCCCATCCCACACACCCAGGTGGGTTCCCCACACCTTGCCCAGAGCTCACCTTGCAGGTGAATGTCACAGCAAACACCATGTCACAGCACAGCAGCTTGTTGCAACCCTGTGCTGTTTGACCAATAGGACACACAGTCCCGCAATGGACATTAAGGAAACTTCCCTGCCCAACCACCCAGAAGCCATTCTGGCAGTCACACTCACACCTGAGCTGGCCCTGGCACCTACACACCCAACACTGACACAGTCAGACAAGGTTTCCCATAGCAAAGTCACTGACGTCTCAGTCCTTCAAATAATTTAATCATGATACCACAATAAAATAACAAGTTGAGCTGGGTGCCTTCAAGGGGGGACCCCAAACAAAGAAACCCCCAGACTCTCATACCCTCACAGTCCAAGCACAATAAAGTTTGGACTCTGTGGCTCCTGCCATGTCCCTGAGTGTCCAGGCACCTGGCCAGCACCACAGGTCCCTGTGCCCTCTGGCAGTTTCACAGTCTCTCCCCAGGGCTCAGCCTGCAGGTGYACACCGAGCACTGAATTTATTCCTCAGCAGTGGGGATACTGACATCCAGGCTCATCCCTCCTGCCAGTCTGAAACTCCCTTACTCAGACCCTGACCTACTTATCCAGACCAGTGTTAATGAGAGTGAACAAGGAAACATGGCCCAAAAGGTACTCACAGGTTCCAGTGCCACGCAGTGTCCAGKGCTCCCCATTGCTATGAACACTTCCACATGATATTCTAGATATTTTATTCCCCATTTGCAGCCAGTTCAGTGCATCCATGYTAGCCTGTGACTGCTAATGTCAGTGAGCCAGGTGCTCAGCATGTGCCTGGGTGAGCAGAGGGAAATTAAAAAATAGATTCAAGCACTTGAATCTGTTTTTTCATTTTTAATTGAAAAGTGTTCAAGCACTGAAGAGTTGCAGTTGGCCAACAGTATGTGACAGGGGTTCTRTACCTCTGGTGAAGCAAATGTTTATCTGGGACATAATTTCTTTGGAATGAGATCAGACCATTATTAATGTGTCTGACACCAAATGTGTCCACAGTTGCCAAGTAATAACATTCTTTCAGCAAAGGTATGAGCRAAGTGTTTGGATAATTTGTTACCTGTTTGCATGGGACAGTATGTTTTCAAAGTGGTAACAGTAATTTAATCATCATCTCCATGGTGGTATTAAATGTGTAAATTGAATTTGCATATTTGTTCAATTTATGACAGTTAACAACATCTCAAGAAAAACCCGTTGTAGATCATCACTAGGTGTAGAATGATAACTGATAGACTTTCATAGGCACCATTTGGAAAAGCAGCATGTGAACCCTCTTCAGGGAGCCATTTACAGAGCCAACAGATGGATACAGAAGATGTTCCAGCAGGATTGACTAATTCTGCTTTCAGTCCTTAGCTACATGCACCAAAATATACTGCTTGAGAGAGAGAAGCAAGGAAAGAGCATGTTTGGACCATTAAGGAAAGCCTCTTCTCTGATCATGATGTGCTCTTCTCACCAGCAAATTGGTTTCTTTCCATCCCAGTGCTACCACTTGTTCCAGGCAGCCAGCGGAGTWTCTCAAGTGGATGCTCTCCAATTGGCTCAGCACACAGCCGGGCATATGAGCTTAATAGCTTTGTATTAAATCTAAAAAGAAAATTGATCCATGAGATGAGGCGACTACTTGTGACTACTTGTGACAGTTTAGGAAGTATTTGGAAATGAGAACAGAAAGTTTGGAACTGTGGCATAGCGTGAATAGCAACAGATGTGGACAATTTGGGAGTGAGAACAGGGAATGTGTTTTCTACAGCAGACAATTACAGATAAAGAAGAGGATTCAAAGCACGGGGTCAGCTTTTGCAGTATAAGGTGCTATTCTTGATGCCTGTAACCCTCCATGTCATTAATAGGGTCTTACTGTAGATTTTGTTTTAAAACCACTTTCTAGTATTCCTATTTGTAGGAAAGAAACTGATGCAAATACACTCCAGAATCTCAAAACCTGAAGAACAGTWAAGCCTAGAAAGTTATTTCTGAGAGCTACCTTTAATTTTGAAATCAGCAGTTAGGGAAATGATGCCATAATTTAGTTTCATTTCCTCTCGTCATCCGAGAAAGGCATTTTCTCTGAGGAAGYAAGTAAAAATTAAAGTTTAGCCTTATTTCTTTCAAGATACTAGTATGTTTGAGAGCTCCTCTCAGAAATCTCCAGTTCTCAGTGTACCACTTTTAATGGCCAGCTGGGCGCCTCTGTGCAGTCATCTCATTCTCAGTGCCTCAATTAAACAGGCTAATAAAACAATAATGCTTTGGAGATACTGATCTTTGCTGAACTCTTTCAGGAAGGCACTGACCTTGCCTAGTGAAGTGTCATTTTCCATTTAATGGCACATTTTACACTTCCTCTAAAAGAAGCTGATCACTGTCCAACTGATCTTTGTTATAAAGCTTCATGCTTCTTTCACTGCTTGCCTTCAACTCTCAGCTTGATGTTTTATTTGAAAAGGGTTAGGAAAAAAAAAAAAATCCTGTCCACTCAGTGTGATCCTGTGCAGTTTTCTTTAAACAAGAGGCAATGGTTCACTAAGGGAAAAGGAGTTCTTTTACTTTGAGAATATGAAATGCTTTTCCACAGTGATGCTGGAGTTTCTTACTCCAGGTAAGAAACCTCAGTTACAACAACACATTGTGAAGTCTTCATACTCAAAAACAATATCCAGTAAGATGCTGGTAAGAGAACCAAAAGGGGACACACCACAGTCAAAACATACTTAGTTTCAGTTAATTCTCACTCATTTTTAAAACCACTGAGTTTTCTATTACCATTGGTACTGTCAAGCAGACAATTTACATTCAATTCTTGGGGATTGCTTGGATGGGAATTTTCATTGCCTTGTCTCAGAAATAAAAGTGTCAGTCCTTGGAGAAATTGCAGGGAAGAAAAACCTAAACAAGCAAAGAATGATGCAATTACAGGGAAAAGCATATTTCTTTCATAAAAATTTCATTATGTTTACTCAGGAGAAAATTAAAGCAATTGTGTCTAAATTCAATGCCATAAAATGATAGGACACCTCAYCCAAAAATGAATTCAGCAGCAATGCCCTGGTTATTAGCTGTTCTTGCTTGAATTGTGCAGAACACCTGAATTGTGCAGTGAGTACCCGACTTGAAAATCCAGACCATTTTCTAGTGCCCATCAAAAGGAGCGCTCCTGGCAGCAACAAAACAGACCCAGTGACATTGAGGCTCTCAACAGCCTCCCTTGGAAAGGAGAGCTCAGCTTGCAATGAAAACAAATGAGGAGGCTGTGATGGATCGAAGAATGTTCACCCATTGTTCCATATTCAATAGCAAATTGCAAGTTGTCTGCCCCTGAGCAGTAATTTTGTTAATTTCCTCAGCTTCTTTGAAAAGAGATTATAACTTCAGCTGTAGTGCATCAGAGCAGGGGATGGCGTTTAGAAACATCCATTTTCCCTCTTCCCACCCAAGCTTCATGACTATAWTAAAGTGAATCCTTCATCTGAGAAAATAATCTAGCGACAACATGGCAGTTCTGGGYTAGTGGWWGGACTTWTCTTACATTAGAGTYTTTCCCAACYKAAATTATTSTATTA